AGGAAAATATGGCCGCGCGAAATCCTCGGGGCGATTCCTCCTTTCGCGCGCTTCTCGCCCCCAAGGATTTTACACGGCCATTTTTTCCTCGCGGTTTATTTACGGTCTCGTTCAACGGACTAATTTGTGGTGGCGGTTAATTCACTTTCAAGAGCTGCAATCTGATAATAACGTAAATGTTTTGTGTCCCCTCTGATGTCGCGCAAACAGTTTGTTTATAATGATACACCGATTCATCTTCCAATGAGGAAATGTTGAAGTAATAAAATAACCTCACGGATGACTATTGAATACTTACACTGCACATCAAGGTAGGCACTAGCATCGATTGCTGTCTTCAACCCATTCTCCGCTAAACACAAGTATTTTCCTGAATGAGTTCTGTTGGCTTCAAAGCTAAGTGTATTGCCTGTAGCCACAGTCGTCCCATCTTTAAGCCAAGTTATCTTAGGGGTTGGATTCCCAGTGGCAGTGCAGTGGAATGTTGCTGTGTCCGCCTCCTTAACTGTTTGGTTAACTGGTACAATTGAAAAACTTGGGAAATCTGTCGTAAAAATTAAAGATGGCAACTCAACTCACTGAATTTGATTTTCCACTAAAGATTATGATCTTTGTTACTTACACTGCACATCAAGATCGGCGCTAGCATTGGCAGTCAAATTTAATCCATTCTCTGCTAAACACCAGTATTTGCCAGACTGATTCCTGTTGGTGTTTATAAAGCTTAGAGTATCTCCTGAAGCCACAGCCTCCCCATCTTTAATCCAGGTTATCTTTGGCACAGGGTTCCCAATGGCGTTGCAATGGAACGTGACATTGGCAGCTTCAAGGACAGTCTGGTCGCTTGGCCTGGTTGTCAAACTTGGGGAAACTACAACAGATAAATATATGTAATGATAGTATAGGCAAACTGATAAACTAGAGGTTTAGCCAAACCGCAGCGATCTGCTAAGAGACAATTCCTTACAAGTAAATGGCTTTTGAGAAAAGTTGCCCAAGAGAAGCGTATAGGTGCAAGCCACAATGTTGAAGAGTATTATAGATAAGAGTAATTTTCCATTGTTTGCTCAACATTGATGGAGTATTTCAGTGCTATATAACTTGAAAGCATGAATATGTACATGCATTCATGATTTGTCTTTTTTTAAATGAAATGCCGTGAACTTGTATCAAGTAGCAGTAAGCTATCTTTACCCCTTATTCCTCTGGACACTGTCACATACATTTTTATTCGTATGCAGGACACTCCAGGACAACCTGTTTAGAAGCAGTAGTATATCCCTAGCAAATAAGGGATTGTCCACATTTCCATAACCAGTTATTAACTATGTGTTCCCAGATGGGCTGACGTTTACAAAGCAACCCAATCAGGATCCCCTCTGGAGCAGACCCTTGCACCTGACTATAATGCCATGCTAATGCCTCCTAATCAAGGAGAAACAACTCTCTAAGTTTGCCACCCCAAGAGAACAAGGATGACATTGTTTGGTGTGCAAGGGCAACAAGAAAGGCAGTACAAGTACACTCTGTTTTGGTACTTACAAAGCACATTCAAGTTAGCACTTGCATTAACGGTGACATCTAAGCCATTTTGTGCTGAACACCAGTATTTTCCAGAGTGATTCCTGTTGACTTTAAAGTTCAGTGTGTCTCCTTGATTCAAAGTCTTTGAATCTCTAATCCAAGTTATCGCTGGTGTTGGATTCCCAGTAGCATTACAGTGGAATGTCACTTGTTGATTTTCCACAACTGTCTTATCAGATGGTTCTGTTACTATACTTGGTGGAACTAAACAAAATGAACATAGAGTAAGATCACATCAAGGAGAATATAAAAAAATTATGCGCATATTCCATTTTTTGATTTGTTGAAATGACATGACAGCCGTTCTTTCAAAATTAATACAGCTATGGGTCATTTATGAGATTTAAAAAATTTTTGTTGTTGTATATGTTGACGCCTCGTTAGTTAATTCAGTGGGAAAATGTTTGAGGTCATAAAAGTTGTGATCCAATAAGTTTGGAAAGAACCACAAGTAATATGTCAGGACTTTTTGACTTATGATTGCTTATTAATTACTGTAATGGGAATAAATGAAATTTAGGCAAAGTTAAGATCAAGCCAATACTGACCAGCAGTTATCAAATATGGAGGGGGTACTGAAAAAGTTCCAGGGGCTTTGCCATGTGCTTTGTTAGCACATGGCAAAGAGTGTAAAGTGTCTTGCCCAAGAACACAATGCAATGTCCCCAGCCAGGACTCGAACCCAGACCACTTGATCCAGAGACAAGAGCACTAACCATGAGGTCACCGCATCTCCTGTTGTATTGATACAGGTGATATATTGCAAAGTCAACATTATTCAACTTACATTTAACATCAAGATTGGCACTAGCATTGACAGTTGAATTTAGACCATTCTCTGCTGAACACCAGTATTTTCCAGAATGATTCCTGTTAGTTTCAAACATCAGTGTGTCTCCTTGACCCACAGTCTCTCCATCTTTAATCCATGTTATCTTTGGAGCTGGGTTTCCAGAAGCATTGCAGTGGAATGTTGCAGTGGCAGACTCAAGTACTGTCTGGTCAGCTGGTGTTGTGATTAAACTTGGTGCAACTGAGACAAAGAATGTTTTGAATGCGAAATTATTGATGAACAACTGGAATATCCTCAACCAGTTGAATAGATAATTATTGAGATTGCCTCTACAGAAACCCTAGGAAGTTAGTAATTTATGCCATAACTAAATTCTTTGAATATACAGCAGTTTCTCATCCAACATCATACTGAAATCAAAATTAACAACCAACAATTTTCATTTCACAACACCCAGTCAGCATTTTGTTGTCAAGCCATCATTCTTTTTCTGTCTAAAATAATAATTTGAAGATGTTTGAATGGAATGACCTTGAGGAAATTAAAAAACAAACTGCAGTCACAAACATAACAAAACAACGCCTGTTGTAAAAACCTTGATTTGAGAACTTAACGTCTCGAATGCTTCTATATACATCATCAGAAGTATAAAACAGTTAGCTGCATTACTCTTCTCATTTAAATTTATTGTAATGCAGCTAACTGTTTTATACTTCTGATGATGTATGTAGAAGCATACGAAATGTTAAGTTCTCAAATCAAGGTTTTTACAACATGTGCTGTTTTGTTATCTTTGTGACCGCAGTTTGTTTTTTATTTTTACTCAAACTTTTTATTCACTTTAATTGCCAAGTAAACTTACATTGCACATCCAGGTAAGCACTTGTATTGACAGTTATAGACCATCCATTCTCCGCAGTACACCAATATTTCCCAGAATGAGTCCTGTTGGCCTTAAATCTCAAAATGTCTCCTTCAGTCACAGTCTTCCCATCTTTAACCCATTTTACTGTTGGGGTTGGGTTCCCAGTGGCAGTACACTTGAAGGTCACTTCCTGATTTTCAGTGACTGTCTGGTCAGATGGTTTGGTAGTTAGGCTTGGAGGAACTGTGAACAAAATGTATAAGAATTAAGGATATAAGACAACATGTAAACACTTAATGTTTAATAGTTCTATAACTGTGTAGGGAAAATCAATTTCCAAGTTTGTAACAAGGATGTATCAGCGAAAGTCATTTCCACTAACCCTTGTACCCAACCCCCCCCCCAAAAAAAAACACACATAAATTCTCTCTAGGATAATTTATCAATGGTTAAAAATCATTGACAGTACTTACAGTACTTCAAAAATTTCTACCAAACAAATACACATGCTCAACATTTCACTTGCAAGCAAAGGATAGAATAACCTACCTCCAAATCCAATAGAGCCCAGACTATCAGAGATCTCTTTGTTTATTGTTTGCTGGGTTACCCCCTTAAGCTTAGTCCATTATTTAAATTTTTAAAATCAAAGTTTGATATACTTACATTGCACATCAAGATTGGCACTAGCATTGACAGTCACATTCAGTCCATTCTCTGCTAGACACCAGTATTTTCCAGAATGATTCTTGTTGCCTTCAATGACAAATGTATCTCCTAATGCCACAGTCTTGCCATCTTTTACCCATTTTATTTTTGGGGTTGGGTTCCCAGTGGCATTGCAGTGGAATGTTGCAGTGGCAGACTCAAGTACTGTTTGGTCAGCTGGTGTTGTGATCAAACTTGGTGCAACTGAAACAAAGAATATTAGATTTCAAGTTGAAACAACTACTTGTGGAATGAATTGTTTAACTACAAATTATAAACAATAATTATTATTGTGAAGGTGAATTAATCAGCATGACACGAGCGTGGGACGAAGAAAAATTCTGAGTCCCTGACAGGAATTCGAACCCATGACCTCCCGAACACCAGGCGGGCACTCTATCCACTGAGCTACGAGAACTCATGGCGAGCAAGGTCATTTAACTGAGTTCATATATGATAGGTGTCCTGCATACTGCTAGGATCAACGCTATCGAA